TCCCGACTCTCCGCCTATGTATCGATAATCTCGTCATACTACGACTGAACGTGACTGTTATACAGCCTTAGCAAGGCTCCACACTTTTACCGTCGATGATCTTCCTTCACACAAATGGAGAACTCGGATGTATGAATTTCAGGCCTGGTTACAAGCTGAGATGCTAAAACCTAATGCCCAAGTCTTTACTGTATTTACGCAGTTTATAGCTAGATTTGGTGGCATTCTCCGTGATTGGTGGATAAGTCTTCAGGAGTATAGACAAAATTTGTTCATCCAAATACCGGATATTAACCAAGCTTTGTATCTCTTGTATGATGAATTCTGTCGATTACCTCACCTTTATGAGAACCAAGTCAGAGAAGAGTATTTTAAGATGCGATACTGTTCTCTAAAAAAGAAATATCTTGACAGACATTACAAAGAGATGGTAAAATGATATCATATACTTAGGGGCATGGATGATCCTAATATGAAGCAAGCCTTTTTGGCATCAATTCCTGAATCTCTGAGTCATGAAGCAACCAAGCTTATGCAGTCCTAGAACAAACAACTTGGATCCACTTCTCTTGGTGAAATTTATCAGTTTGTTATTCTTGCTCTGGAAAAGCTCTATTCTCAAAAACAATTTTTTGACAATTATCTGAAGCATTCTAAACAACTGACAAAGGTTTGTCAATGCCCAGACTTGCAGATCAAATGCAAATCAGATTGCTCATGTTCTTGTCCTACAAAGAAGAAGTTTCATTCTAGACACATCAAGTTTTCTCTACCTCCGGCTAGGCGCAAATTTTGATGTTTCAAGAACCGCAAGTTTCTTCGGAAAAGGACACGCAAAGGCAAACGGTCTAATCGGTGTTATTTGTGCAACCGTCCGGGTCATTTTGCAAAAAATTATCCAAACAAGCCTAAGCAGTCAGTCAAAATGATGCAACAACTTTCTCAACTCACAGATATAGATTTTTCTGATGATGATGTTGAAAGTTGGTTTTCCATAGATGACGAACCCACTTTAAACACTATTTTCCAGTTTGTAGCCACTGATACTGAGTTCTTTGATTCAGATGATTATCACTATTTCTACCATATCCAATAAGCACCACAATCCCTTCCATCATTAGCCTTCTCATGTCACATACCTACAGTAAAAGTTTAGATCTTCCCCACTAAATACTCAAATCCTGTTTCAGTCATAGCATTTTTTGATACTGGTTCTACTCGTACTATTATCAACCCTAAGATCTTTCCAGCCTCTCAGTGGAAACTTCATCAGGAAATATTCTACACTGCTAATAGTGAGGCTTTCACTACTCATCTGATCAGCAAACCCATTAAAATCCAAATTTTCTCAGGATGTTTCACTTTTCATAAATTTCTTGGTTCCGATCTACCTGGCAAAGATATGGTTCTAGGTTTTGATGTTTACTCTAAACTCAATAAACTTAGAATCCTCCCTGATGGTGTGCGGTACAAGATGTTTTTCCAATCCTGGACCACTCAGCCTAATTTATTCTAGATTGAAGGCAATCCTATTTAGCAGATCAAGACCTAGCTTATTTCCCGCTCTTGCGCAGATTCTTATGCTGATTTTCTCACTAAATGTGCTCATCCATTATGGAAGAATTCGGATTTCTTTATCCGTCTTCATTCATCAAGAGCGAAAATATCAATCCGACTAAAGCTAGTCCTTCCGGCATGTCACCAGAACATCTCAATCTAGCTCAACAAGAATGTACTCAACGTTTATCTCAAGGATTGATTGAACCCACAGACTCTCAATGGGCATGTGAAGCTTTTATGTCAATAAACAGGCAAAACAGGCCAGAGGAAAACTCAGACTTGTTATCAATTATCAGCCATTAAATTCTTTCTCCATGATGATAAATTTCCTCTGCCTTCCAGACAAGTTCTTTTTGCAAATCTCCATAATGCAAAGATTTTTTCCAAATTTGATCCCAAAGTTGGATTTTGGTAACTTGGAATTCATCCTAATGATGGTCATAAGACTGCTTTCTGCATTCTCAATCAACACTACTAGTGGACAGTCATGCCTTTTGGACTCAAAGTCGCTCCTTCCCTGTTTCAAAAGGCCATGGCGAAGATTTTTGCTCCCCTTCTGCATACATGACTCATTTATATCGATGATATCCTTCTCTTTTCAAAAGATGAGGAATCTCATATACGTCTTCTTCGTGACTTTGCCGATCTCATCCACAGTTATAGTATTATGCTCTTTGAAAAGAAAATGCAGTTAGGATAGACAAAGATTGATTTTCTTGGCATGGTGATTGCCGACGGCAAGTATGATCTTTAGCCTTACATTGCTAATGAATTGCAAAAATTCCCAGATGTTCTCACCGCCAAGAAAGAAATACAATAATTCTTGGGAATTGCCAATTATATGCGCAGTTTCATTCCCAACATTTCTCGTTTCACTACTCTACTTTCCCAGATGCTTAAGAAGAATCCTCCAGAGTGGTCTGAAAGGCAGACAAATGCAGTCAAGAGTCTCAAGCGCGCATCCTTCCATACACAGCCGTTGAAGATTCCTTCTTCGGGGAAACGAATTCTTCAGACGGATGCTAGTGACACTCATTGGGGTGCAGTGCTTTTTGAACAAGATGAGGACAAGGTACGACATTTGTGCGGATACCAGAGTGGACAATTCAAACCACACCAGCAGCATTATCATTCTACTTTCAAGGAAGTATTAGCAGTAAAAAAATGCCATTAAATGGTTTGAATTCCACCTTGTTGGATATCATTTCTTTGTTGAAACGGATATGAAGTCTTTTGATCAAATGTTACGTTTCCACAAGAAAAATGTTCCACATCAGCAGTTACTTTGTTGGGCAGAATGGTTCAGTAAATATTCCTTCACCGTCCAGCATATCAAAGATCACACCAACACCATTGCAGATTATTTATCCAGACCTAAAACTAAATAAGTTGGTTTCATGAACCTTAGATTCAAACCTCTTCCATGTTTCATGTTCCAACCATTAACCCTGTCCAGTTCCTGTTCATCATCCTCTTCATCAAACCATACTCCAGACGTACCTCCTGAATTCGATGACCTTGTTTGGATGCATACTATTGATGAAAATGCTACTACCCTCATGTTTTCTTACCAACTTCAATGTATTGAAAAATGTGGTCAATCCATGTATGCTATGTTAGGGATCCATCCAGATTACCCCTTTTCAAAAATCTTTTGTTTACCTCCAGGTCTTGAAATCATATTTCCAGAAGAATTATTATGGTTCTTTTGGTATATGTTGCACTAATATCACATTGCCATTCAATTCCCGATCCATTATGTGTTGAAAATAATTTCCCAATACCAGTCAACCTTAACCCCTGAATTCCTCTCATTGATGACTTTTCTCTGATGGTTCAAAACCCTAGACAAATGAAAATCTGTGTTTGCTCATCAACTGGCCCGGTACAAAGGTCCTATGTCTATCAAAATGGCATGGTCTATCATGTTTTTTCACAGACATCACTCCATCAGATCTGATGGCCTATATTTTTCACAGCATCAAGTCACATTTCATCGGTCTTATCCATATGACCTCGTCCATAATATGTTTGATCATCCTGTTGAGACTAGATCAATTCAAAAAATCATTTTTGAAAAAAATTAGATCATTCCAGATGCATTATGGCCATCCTTTTACGATGATGCTCCGTGGGAACTCTTTCCTCCAGACTACACTGAGAAATTACTCCAAGCCAAACAGACATGCATACGTTCCATCAATGCTTAATTCGATGCCGATTCAGCATATCCAGAATGGTGGTATCTGGACTCATAGTCAGATACTGTGCAGGAAGAAGAGCTTCAGTGTAATTACTATCTCCATAAATCCAGGCGACAACAATACATGCATGCACCAAGTACATCTGCAAAGCAAACATCTCAGATTCCAGACATTTCTTCAGAGACTCATCCAAATATATCTCCCCAACAAATCCCTGCTGACTGGATACAATCAATGAGTTGTCTCGACTTCCAAGATGAAGAATCGTGGCATGTTACTAATTTGTCAGACGATTAACGACCCGCGTGTGCTAAAATAAATAGTTGTGTCCTTTATGTAAAATAGGGGTGAACTAAATGGCAATTTGCTATCTCAATGTAATATCTCCCGTATCCTTTGTAAAAAGTCAAGAATTGTAGGCTACTTCATGTAAAAAAAGAAAAAAAAAATCAAATCAAACTAAAAAATGTTAGTCTTGTATTTAATGACTCATTTATGAGTGGTTATATCCCTTATATCTATAAATAAAACCTTTTACCTTCTCGGGGAGGAGGAACTTTGCAAAACTTTGGTTTATTTCTCTCACTTTTCTTTACACATCTTTACTATAATTCTTCCATATTTCTTTCATATTTCTAACTTTCCCTCAACCTCAAGGGTGTTGTAATACTCTGATAATGTTATAGATAGCAAAAAATCTCATATATGCTTTTAATTTATGTTCTTTAACCTGTTTAATATTTATGTTTTCATTTATGTTCTTGTTCTTTATTTCTGTACATGTTCTTCATTTATATTCATGTTCTCCATTTATGTTGTTGTTTAATATTCACTAGCCATTTTAGATGATGTTAGAAGCTGGGTGGGTGTACGTGTGTGTGGGATAAAAGGAGGGTCTTGACCATCATTTCGACCGATATTTGTGTGTTGATTGGTTCCGCTTAGGTCGGCTATCATAAATTCCCACATGCATAAACTCCATGAGTTTCTGATAGCACCTCTAAGGTCTAGTAACCCGTGTGGTATCTGGTCAATTCATTTAGTTATAAGTATGAATGGGAGTCGTTCTTGATTACATCTCAATTTATCCCGACACAAAGGAATCACCAATTTCATAATTTTATTAGCTTTCTAACACTTTTGGGATCTCTCGTTTTCAAATCATCATCTTGTTAGCAACAAAAGTTTTCCATGTAAATAAGTAATTTGTACAACCTTAAATTAATTAGACCACCCAGCAAAAAGTACAACAAAAAAAGAGATAGAAAATTAAGAATTACAACCTGATGAGCAATTAATTAGAGAAATACTAATTTAATTGTAATACAAATTAACGTACATATTAAAAGCTCCATGCAAAATCATCAATGGAGATTGAGCTTAGATCACGACACATTGCACCAGACATGAATGTCGATTCCACAAATTCAAGGTCAAAACTAGAGCTGTCAAATGAACAATCTATGTCCTGATGAACACTGTTGTTTGCTTCATAGATATTATCGTTCATCTTCTCCTTCTCTTGAAGTTCTTGTTCTTGTTCTTGAAGTTGCAGTCCTTCGACGCTTGGAACTCTATAGGGTTCAACCATTGTATTGATACCCCATATGGAATAATAACTCTCATCTAAGAGACCAAATCCTGATGGGTTCACTGAAGAAGTTGCGGAAGAAGAAATGGGTCGGCTCTCAATGGAGGAGACACTAGGGAAAGTAGTAGTATTAGTGATGGAGTCATGAGAATTTTGACCACAATTTGCAGTCCAAACATTAGGGTTTTGAATTTGATATTGAGAGGTTGGTGTTGGTGTTGTTGAGGGCGCCATTACTGGTTGAAGCAATGGAGCATTTTGAAGAGGAGGTGAAGGTGAAGGTAACGTTAGAATTGGAGGTCGAATCTCCATCTGCACATTGTTATTAATTGGCGTCATTTGTCCATTATTGACTGTGAAAACGGGAATGGATGGATCAAAGGAGGTTTGTGAGATGTTGCGTGAAAGCTTTTTAGAAGCTCTTTGATGAGAAGGGATCAAATTGTGAGTCCTTGGGTCCAAACCTTGTGAGATCAACTTCTTTTTAATGCATGAATTCCAGTAATTCTTCACTTCATTGTCAGTTCTTCCTGGCAAATGCTTAGCTATCTGGGCCCATCTGCCAAACCCATGCAATAGTAAAATATAAGCTAATGTATCGTATTGGTATTCGTGTGTGTATATATATATATATATATAAATTAATACAGAAATAAAAATTTTACTAAAATTTTGCTTTTTAATATCAATTGACTGTAATGTTCGTGTACTTTTGTAAGTTAATATATTAATATTCTGTTTTGTGGTGAAATTGAATTGGGTTTACCTGTTGCCTAAAATTCTGTGGCAATCAATGATTATCTGTTCTTCTTCTTCAGAAAGGGAACCTCTCCTGAGGTCTGGTCTCAGGTAGTTTATCCATCTCAATCTGCAACTTTTTCCACACCTTTGCAAACCTGCACGCGGTTCATCGATTAATATACCCACCAACTATATATCAAATACTTTCAGGGGAAAGGAGAGAGAGAGAAGCTTGCTATATATCATACCAGCAAGTTTTGGAACAGAACTCCAGCTGCCATGGCCATGAGTAGTGATGTGTTTAAGGAGCTTTTCATCTTCTTCAGGCGACCACAATCCCTTCTTCACTTTCTGTTTGCTGCAGCACTTGTGACCCATATTCTCAGTAGTTAATTTCCATGCTGCTCCCTCCCCCTGCCCTTAATTTATATCAACAATAAGCTCATCCGTATAAATAAACCTAACTTTAATTCGCTCTTCCAACTTACTGGTTTCACTGTTTTAAACGCTGAAAGCGCTTGCTACCTCATGAGGTGAGCGATTATTCAAATAAATATATGAAATGAAATGTTGAAGGGTATCAAATTAAAAGCGTCAAGAAATGACAGAGGGGACTCAGGCAACTGAAATGCATGGAAATCTGAGTAATATAGGCCAAGTGGGAACACATTTAACATGATGTTAAGCCAATTGTAGTGTGATTAGATGTTTTGTTTTAATAGAAATTTTGGCCAATCTTTCAAACCATATTTCCCTAGAAGCAAAGATCCCCTCATGGTGACTCAAGGTCCCACTCCCCAAATATAATATAAATTCACACAAATGAGAAACTTTTTGTCAATTTGAGTGTGAGAGGGGTTACTTATAACAACTCTTAAATTTGCATGCCTCACTTATATTTCTATATATATGTACTTCACTTCACTTGATTGTGTAAACCAACAATGTGCTGTTATTTGCAGACTTTGAACTATTATTGTCCCAACTAAAAAACAAAAGATTACAACAAAAACAAACTATACTTTAATTAATACTACAATTTAACTTCCACAAATTCGATAATATAAATAATCTAGGCACCAAAGGACTAAGAATTCATAGAGGATCCCATATTAATTGGTGAGAAAGGCCATTCCATTTGAGAAATGTGCTGGAAATTTAACTTCGGGTTCACTCATAGTGAGAAGGACCACAAGGTCTGATTGAGTGCTTTGGTGGGCATTAATTTTATACATAAAAATTATTATAGATTTTGTTTTCAAGAAAAGAAGTACAGATCCATCAAGTCATCAAGGGAATTAATATATATAACGAAGTATACCCTATGATGTAATTGTAAGAGTATGAACATATTGTCTCATGTACATGTACTTTAGAGTTTTGAGCTGACAATATATGACACAATAATGGGTGTCATGGCCATGAAAGAGGCATTAATTAATTTAATAATAGAGTAGAGTGATGAAAAATACTGATATCGAAACATGAGAAAAATGAGCTGCTTGTTTTGAGAGCAAATCATTGCACTTTCATTTTCAATTAGAATATGAGGAAGGGTCATGATTATGATTAAAGAAACTTAATTATATATTAATTAATTAATTTCCTTCTAATCACTCTATATATGGAGATAGAGCTGTAGTTTTCTCAAGTTGCCGTGTTAAATCTATCTCACTCTCACAGTACTATTGATATTTTGAAGTGCGTAATTCAATTTATTAGCTAGTTTTCACTCTCTCTCTCTCTTGTCAATACTTGACATGTTTATGAATGCTTAATTTCCAAGGAAAAGAATAAGTAAGCTCTTAAGAAATCATAAACTTGAAGCTTTAATTTTAAATTAAACTTTGGGGATGGCAGGATTTATCAGAAAATTAATTGTATGAAAAGGAACCTGCTATGCAATATTCCTTGCACAAAGACTTGGAAATATGTCTTAAAGTATAAAACAATACAAATATTACCTTCTCTCTTTGTTTGGATCGATCTTTTGCTTGTACATGTAAATATGTTGCCCTTGGGTCATCATCTAGGAGTCATACTTTGATGGCTACCAACCTGAGTAACATTAGAAGGTAAAGGAATTTAAACCTTGTATGTTTGACCTAATTTTTTTTATTTCTTCTTTGATCTTTGTCAAGGGGCCATTTTTGTTAGCTTTTCATAGCTTGTAGTCTTACCTATATATATATATATATATATATACTATAGAATATATATGTATCCTCGAGTACACATTTTCTTATATAATTAACCTATGGTAAGTTTTCTCTAATCAAATAACCTTGGTCACCTTATGACGTGTATGCATTAAGTGTATGCTTTTAATCAACCAATGAGATAATTAATCATTTAAAACACAACTTTTATGAATAATTCTACAATAAGGCTACAGCGGCTATCAATGGATACGTTTAGTTTAGATGCCAATACGATCTTTTTTTTTCTCAAAGCTTTCAATGAAAATTGCTTAGTTAACAGAATTCTGGAAATTACGCATTTCATCAAAGCTATCAAACACCAACTTTATAAAATCCCAGGAACGGTATTGTTTCTGCCGTTCGATTTGAAGCCACTGTAAAAAAATTTATCATAAGAAACCATTAGTCAACACAGATAGTTCTTAAATGTCATCACTTTGAGATCACTAAAATAACACGTACGTATTCGAAATCTATATTTATATGTAAAATGCCACTCCATTAATATATTATGTACATACACCAGAAAACAGACTGATATAGTTTCTACCCACAAGATTTCATGCTTTTGAAACAAAAAATAATGACTAAAAACTTTTTGATTAATTGAAGGCCATAACTCCAAACGTTTGTGCAATTTGTTACGGCATCATGATTGTCAGGTCTAGAATTCGTCATAATAAAAACCAATAAATCTTATCGTAATAAAGTGAAGAAACAATACCCCAGATCGAGTGAGAATAAGTAAGGACTGATTTTGAATTTTTTGCGGTCTTTGACTCTGAAGTTCCCAGGGAGGCGTAATAAGCTTCTCTCTGCAAATAATGCAACAAAAGAATCATAGAATTTCCAAAACTTAAAACAAGATCAGAGGTTGTATAAGAACAAATTTGAAAACAGAAAGCAAATTCAATAGGATGCTGATATTCTGTTGAAAGAAAAGATATATATTTCATTTGTCAAATCTAATAAAACAAAACCAGGGGAAAAAGGAACAGACAAATAAAAGTGAGTAAATACAAGCACCGAGTTTAAAGAATAAACAGCCAAACAGAGTATTAAACAATACTCACCAACGCAACAGCATGTGCAGGCATATTTCTACCCTGAAAAGTTTTAAACTGCCAAAACAGTGTCGTTTTGCATTTCTCAATATTCTTCCTCACAGCTCAAATGACTCGTTTTTGTTCAATCTCTTTAAACTTCACAATCTATAACTACAAGTAATGAATGGAAACCTGAAAGACTTGATGAATCATTCTGCTTTTCAACTTGGTGAGTCACTCAATGTCTGGGCTGCTGAGTTGAATAATGGGAGTGAGGCTCAACAGCAGTGGGAGAGAATTAGAAAGAGAGCAGGCAGCGAACTAGAGGCTGTGTCCCGAGCCAAGCATTTTAAAAGATATCAAATCAGAGCTACAAAACACCAAAACTCCAACAAACAAGTTTCAAAGCAATATGGGAGATATGCTCTTTTCCACATTTAGTCTAAGAAAAATTCGGAAAAAAGTCGAATCCTTTTGGAATTTTAAAGATGAGTACCATTTTGTCAAAATAGATCATGAACACTGGACAACAATGAAACTTCTCGTACAAATTAAATAAATAAATAAAAATGTAGAAAAGGAAATAATGAACTGAAGTCTAACCTTGATTAAATCTCAATGCCACAAAATGCTGAGAGAAGTATCGCAATAGATGATGTAAACACAAAAACTCCAAAGAAGTCGGTTTTGCCTTCGACCTAAAGCACATGATGATGATCTATTATTGCAATGGGCACACAACTACAAAGTAACTTTAAGAGAAACAAAGGATTCAGTCAGCAACCTAATTCCCCTATTAAGAGAGATGATAAACCAACAGAAGCAGATGAAATCGCATCGAATTGTGATCCTCTTCCTTTATTGTTGGCAGAAATTGAAAACCAATCCTAACAATTGAATGACAACCTGCAATAAAATAAGCAAACCTTATCTTAAAATCCCGTAGTCAATTGAAATAAAGCCTGTTAATTCATAATTATCATAAATGAAACTGATGCTCATGAGAATCAAAAACCACACCTCTTTAATGAGTGAAAACATGCTACTACTATTGCCAGTTAAATCTCAGGGCTAGCAACAAAAATTGTACCATCTGAGTAAGTTAATTCATCCACACATGCTAATTCCATTATCATTATGTTATGCAACGGAAATATAAACTCTAACATTAGCTATTGAATATAATAATAACATGTAGTAAAGCAAAAATAAATAGCCAAAATTAAATACAAAAATAAAGAATATCAGGAATCAACGAGGTTTGGTATTGTAACCTACGTCCTCGGGCGCTACAAAAGAAAATTTCACTATCTCCAAGCAATATTACAAACTTTTGGGTAATACGACAAATACCCAAAACAAAGAAGAGATACAACAAAACTTTCAAACTAAAGGATCCTTAAAGAAAGAACCCTATACAAGAGAAATGTAATAGAAATACAACTTGGGATACAAATAACAATGATTTAGGTCCTTATATATAAGTCCCAAAAGTTTTCCACTTTTCATTCCTAAGAAATGTAGGACAAACTAACCTTTTGACCTATTACATATAAGTCCCTAAACCTTTCTCCATTATCACTTCTACCCCATGTGATTTTGCTAAATGAGCAATTTTTCAACAAATCTCCACCTTGACGAATTAGCAAACCTTCAAAGTTTTGTATTCTTCTGTCAAATTTTGCAACACCTTCAAATGCGCCAAAAGGCACAACCAAGCTCGCAGGATGTTGATCAAGTTCAAACAGTGATTGAACTTGATCATTGTCACTACTTTCGTTAAAATATCTGCAGGATTCTCAACAGTCCCAATTTTCTCTAATGAGATTCTTCCTTCAGTAATGATTTCCCACACAAAGTGGTAACGAACATTTATATGTTTGGTGCGAAAGTGGAATACTGGATTCTTTGTTAAGTGAATAGCACTCTGACTGTCAAAATAGATAGTGATCTTCTTCTGACTAATTTTCAATTCATTCAATAGCCCTTGTAACCAAATAGTTTCCTTTACAGCCTCTATAACTGCCATATATTCTGCCTCTGTAGTAGACAAAGCAACTGTAGACTACAAAGAAGATTTCCAACTCACTGGAGCTCTAGCAAGAGTAAATACATATCCAATAGTTGACCGACGCTTGTCCAAATCACCAGCATAATTAAAATCAACATAGCTAACAACAAATTGACTAAGATTTTCATCCCGCTCAAAAATCAAACCAATGTTTACAGTATCTATAATATATCGTAAATTCCACTTCACAGCTTGCCAATGTCCTTTACCAGGATCATGTATATACCTGCTCACAATTCCAACTGCATGTGAAATGTCAAGCCTAGTACACACCATTGAATACATCAAGCTACCAACCGCATTTGAATACGGAACTTTTTACATAAGAATACAAAACTTTGAAGGTTTGCTAATTCACCAAGCTGGAGATTTGTTGAAAAATAGCTCATTTAACAAAATCACATAGGGTAGAAGTGATAATGGAGAAAGGTTTAAGAACTTATATGTAATAGGTCAAAACGTTAGTTTGTCCCACATTGCTTAGGAATGAAAAGTGAGAAACTTTTGGGGCCTACATATAAGGACCCAAATCATTGCTATTTGTATCCCAAGTTGTACTTCTATTACACTTCTCTTGTATAGTGTTCTTTCTTTAAGGACCCTTTAGTTTGAAAGTTTTGTTATATCTCCCTTTTGTTTTGGGTATTTGTTGTATTGCCCAAAAGTTTGTAATATTGTTTGGAAATAATGGAGTTTTCTTTTGCAGCTTTGGACAATCTTTCTTCTAATGCCCTTTCTCATGACAAAAGGCACATTGATCCTTATTGACCGCACAAAGTGGTAACGAACATCTATATGCTTGGTGCGAAAGTGGAATACTAGATTCTTTGTTAAGTGAATAGCACTTTGACTGTCAGAATAGATAGTGATCTTCTTCTGACTAATTTTCAATTCATCCAATAGCTCTTGTAACCAAATTGCTTTCTTTACAGCCTCTGTAACTGGCATATATTCTGCCTCTATAGTAGAAAAAGCAACTTTAGACTGCAAAGAAGATTTCCAACTCACTGGAGCTCTAGCAAGAGTAAATACATATCTAGTAGTTGACCGACGCTTGTCCAAATCACCAGCATAATCAGAATCAACATAGCCAACAACAAATTGACTAAGATTTTCATCCCGCTCAAAAACCAAACCAATGTTTACAATATCTATAATATATCGTAAAATCCACTTCACAGCTTGTCAATGTCCTTTACCAGGATCATGCATATACCTGCTCACAATTCCAACTGCATGTGAAATGTCGGGCCTACTACACACCATTGAATACATCAAGCTACCAACCGCATTTGAATACGAAACTTTTGACATAAGAATACAAAACTTTGAAGGTTTGCTAATTCGTCAAGGTAGAGATTTGTTGAAAAATTGCTCATTTAGCAAAATCACATGGGGTAGAAGTGATAATGAAGAAAGGTTTAAGGACTTATATGTAATAGGCCAAAAGGTTAGTTTGTCCTACATTGCTTAGGAATGAAAAGTAGGAAACTTTTGAGGCCTATATATAAGGACCCAAATCATTGTTATTTATATCTCAAATTGTATTTCCATTACACTTCTCTTGTATAGGGTTCTTTCTTTAAGGACCCTTTAGTTTGAAAGTTTTGTTATATCTCCCCTTTGTTTTGGGTATTTGTTGTATTGCCCAAAAGTTTGTAATATTGTTTGGAGATAATGGAGTTTTCTTTTGCAGCTTTGGACAATCATTCTTCCAACGCCCTTTCTCATGACAAAAGACACATTGATCCCTATTGAGTTTTCCCTTCGAACGAGATCTTCCTCTTCTCTCCTTCTTACGACTTTGACTTTGACTACGCCCTCTTGCTACAAGTGCTTCTGCTGACTCATCTTTATTCTCCTTCTGATCCTTTTTCCGAATTTCATTATTGGACAAAGCAGAACAAACTTCTTCAAAGGACAATTTTTCTTTCCCATGAAGAAGTGTAATACTAAGATGATCCAACTCATCCGGAAGAGATCCAATCAACAACATAGCTTTATGTTCATCTTTGAATGTTTCATCCAAATTTAACAAATCAGCAATTAATCTGTTAAATGTATCAATATGGCTACTGATATTCGCACCTGGTCTCAACTGAAGGCGAAACAATCCTTTCATCAAATAGAGTCGATTCTCATTACTTCTTTTCATGTACTTGCTTTCCAACGCCTTCCATAACTTATTGGCAGACGTCTCTTTCATGAATGAATATTTTTGCTCTCTACAAAGACATAAGCGAATCATCCTACAAGCTTTTGCATTCAGCCTCACCCAGTCTTTCTCATAGATATCTTCTGGTTTTTCCTCCTCCAGAACGATATCTAGATCCTTCTGATACAAGCTATCCATTACCTCACTTTGCCACAAGCCTAAATTATTTTGACCATCAAATTTTTCAACATCAATTTTTGCATTTGAAACCGTTATCATCTTTACTGGCGCAGATGGTGGTGCCGCGGACGATGACGCCTCGAACGATGATGTCATTTATGCCTTACTCAATTGGTTTGGTAAACAAAGTTCCCAAAAACCAAGCTCCACAAATTATTATATTCAATAGCTAACCAACATATCAACTATAGCCCTAGGTAGTAGCAAGTGTTGAAATGATTAAATATGCACCAGGAAAATTCCCAGAAAATAATGGAGGGGTCACAAATGGTCCCACTTAAAATTCAGTCTCCTTAGACTTTTATCATCTTGTTGACAGAATTTTCCTAGACATGCATATAACCATACAAATAACTACTCACTGTCACAAACCTAAGCTCTGATACCACTTGTTATGCAACAGAAACATAAACTCTAACGCTAGTTATTGAATATAATAATAACATCTAGTAAAACAGAAATAAATAGCCAAAATTAAATGCAAAAATAAAGAATACTAGGAATTAACGAGGTTCGCTATTGTAACCTACGGCACTGCAAAAGAAAACTCTGCTATCTCCAAACAATATTACAAACTTTTGGGCAATACAACAAATACCCAAAACAAATGGGAGATACAACAAAACTTTCAAACTAAAGAGTCCTTAAAGAAAGAACCATATACAAGAGAAGTGTAATGGAAATACAACTTGGGATACAAATAACAATGATTTGAGTCCTTATATATAGGCCCCAAAAGTTTTCCACTTTTCATTCTTAAGCAATGTCGGACAAACTAACCTTTTGGCCTATTACATATAAGTCCCTAAACCTTTCTCCATTATCACTTCTATCCCATGTGATTTTGATAAATTGCTAAATGAGCCATTTTTCAACGCATCGTTCTAAAATGCATCTTGAACCATACAAAGTAAAAACTTCTGTTAAACAATAAACCCCTAGAAGATGAATCTCATAATCAAATTCAACAAGAAGTTTATAGAAAGTAAAGTATTTCACTGACCCAGTTCTACTTGGAGGCTTAAAAAAAAAAAAAAAAAGATTTGAATTTTATTTTTAACCAAAAATATCAACTTTCAGATTTGACTCAGCAGGAATTGCAAGTAAGTCATACAAAATTGAGTACCTGAGTGAAGATAATTGAAGATGAGTGCAATTTGAAACTAAGTTTTTGTTTATTCAGCTATTCTCTAACATGTACATAAGAAAATTGAAACTGACACTATATTTGGAAGCAGTACAAAAACACCATCACTAAAGCCCATTCAACAGAAAAGACAAATAACATTTGGAAAATTGGTTCCACAGAAACTACAATTATAATATAAGAATAGGGCTCATGTAAAATCTGATAGCATTTTAGATTTGATTGAATGTGAGAAATAATTTACAGTATAAGTAGTATGCAAGAGAGGGAAGAAATCAAAACAGCAAAGTTGGAAGAATTGGCTACATGTAGACCATGTGTAAACCATGCGTAAACCATGTGAGAAAAAAAAAAAAAAGGAGTTAAATTTATCATATATTGTCTTGTTGGAAACACATCTTGTCGAATAAACTAGACAGAATTCGCTACATATATCCTCTCATGTCCTAATCCAGAACCATTAGTAGAATTTAACTGCCAACACAACATATCTGGGACCCCTAGTGAGAGATGATATAACTGTGCTTGAATAGATAAAATAAAACAAAGGCCCAAATTTTGTCAACAAGTTAAACCTTATTAGAATAAAATTCTTCAATGTCTCACTATCATGGATACAGTTTTTTATTTGCAAAATCTGAATTTCTGAGCTCTAAGTTCTCACTAGTAGCTTTTGCATAGTGATAGAAATTGTAAACTACCTGATGATTGGGAGCTGCAAACCATGGAAATCTTTAGTGAGGCTGCAAAAGGGAGTGCATAATACCCACCAATTCCCAAGAGAAATCACTTCTTCATTAGCTGTGGTGACCAAGCTATGACTGCATTTGAGAAAAGAAGAATATTGTAGACAACAGGAAAAATGGTACAAGTGACTGTTTATATATTTGACCAAGGAAATGCCTTACCAACCAGACAACAAAATATATACTGTGCTCATGAAAAGAGAAGTTCTCTTTGCCTGTGAAATGTTTCCCCCAAAAGCCTCTTCGTTGATTTGTAAGGAAGCTTCCCTGTTTCATGCATCATATCAAGCACCATATGGGCTTCAGGCAATTGTTTTTCTTCGCATAGGATGCAAAGCAACCAGTTGTAACTATATGGACGAGGTACATAACCGTGTGCAATCATTTCTCCAAACATTTTGAAGGCGGGAATGCTCAAACAACTAGAACAAAGACATTTGAGTAAATTTTCATAAGAAGCCTTACTTGGGAAGAATCCCCTCTTATGCATCGTATATAAGATTGACAATGCATCAGGCAATCTACCAGCTTGGCAAAGACCTTTTAGCAAAGTGTTATATGTGATTCTATCAGGAGCACAACCATCTGCATTCATCTTATTGAAAAACCCAATGGCACAATCAATTTCACCAGCTCTGATATGCCCATCAATGAGAATAGTATAAGTCACCTGATTGGGACATACGCCTTCCCTTTGCATCATCTCCAAATGATCATGTGCATCCTGAATCCTACCTGCCCCACAAAATCCAGAAATTATACCATTATAAAGGTACAAGTTTGGCATAAACTGAATTTCTTTAACTTTCTTCACGAGCTTCAATGCGAAAGATTTCATTCCTTCAGGAGAATTGACACAAACTTTTAAATTGTTCTTCCTCAGGGGTAAAGTTCTCTGATGGAGCAACTGATACAACATTTCCTTCGCATTTTCAGACCCTCTGTCAACAATAAACAATCTTTTTCTACCAGTCATATGTCTACAAACACCACTGACCAAAGCAATATACGTGATCAAATCACCTTCTATCTGGTTTCTATCCATCAAATCAACTAGTTTAAAGGCAAATTCAAACTCCCCTATCCTTAAGAAATGATTGATAAGAGAGGTATAGAGCACAGCATTTGGCACAAACCCATCTCCTAACATCCTATCAAGGTACATGCATCCCTTGTCCATCATACCTTTCTTCACCAATCCACTGATCAGGGCAGTGTAAGAATAAGAACTTGGTTGAATTGAATTCCCCATCATTTTCTCAAACAATTGGCAAGCTTCAATAGGTTTTCCATTTTTGGAGTATCCATTGATCATTGTCACATAGACAACCTCATCAGGATCCACACCTGCCTCCAGCATTCTCTTGAACATAACTTCTGCTTCAAGTATCCTTTTTTCCCTGAAAAGACAACCTATTATTCTATCATAGATAGAAACACCAGGCTTCAGTCCTCTCATATCCATTTGGTCCAAAACACCATAGGCTGAAGCTATATCTCCTCGTTTACAATATTCACTTACCATTATCAAATAAGTAGATATATCCGGAGCCGTACCAGAGTCTTGCATAAGTTCAATTAAGGAATTGGCAACCTCAAAAAGTCCCTCCTGGCAAAGGCACTTGATCAAAGAGTTATAAGTAATAAGCAAAGGTCTGCATCCAAGACTAACCAATTTATCCATGCAAAGGAAAGCATACTCTGATTCTCCACCCTTGCACAAGGCACTGATATAGACACCAAATGCCACATTAGCGAGATTTGGGTTGCTTTTCACAATTTCCCCAAGCAGAAGCTCAATTGCTTTGATCAAATCCCCTGTAGCATTCAGAGTAGTGGAGGTTGAGAGAGCCAAAGGATCAATACCACATCCATTCTTGGCAATTGCTAGCAACACCATGAGAGCAAGCTGAAGCTCTTGACCCTTAGGACACTTCTTCATGAGGATAAAGGATAGCACATGGTCAGGAACAACGCCATTTTCCAGCATGTTTTTGTACAATTCATCTATCTCCACTAGCCTATTCTCCTTGTAAAGAGAAGCAATCAAATCTGTGTAACAGTGCACACTGGGAGCTATACTATTACTTAACATGTTATTTAAAAGTGTCAAAGCACAATCCACATTCCGATCCCTGCAATAATTACTAATTATAATATGATAAGTGACCATATTTGGCTGCAATCCCCACTCAATCATTTGGTTGAATACTACCCACCCTTTATCAAACAAACCCATAGTGACAAAACCATGAATTAAAGTGTTACAAGAATAACTATCCGGCTCACAACCTGTCTTGAGCATTCTCAAATAAACTCGCATTGCCATTTTCATCTTCTTATCCTTACTATACGCATTCATCAAAGAAGTATACATCATCTTATCTACAAAGAACCCCTGTGATTCCATTTCTTCAAACAACGACTCAGCCTCCACAACCCACCCTCTTTTACAAAAACCATAAAACAAAGATTTATACAAATGAAGACTAGGTGTCAATCCTGATATCTTACGCATCATTTCAAACGATTTCATGGCTTCATTTAAATACCCTTTATAACATAACCCATCAATCAAAATATTATAAGAAGAAAAACTCATGTTTACACCAGCATCATGTATCCGAACAAAATAATCAAAAGCCTCCAAAAATCTTTCTTGCGCATATAACTCTCTAAGAATAGCATTACAAGCAGGTTTAACAGGAACAGAATCCATCAAAAAAATCCTATCAAAATGCTTCATTGCATCCTCTAATTCGCCTATCTCACAGTAACAAATAACCACCGAATTCAAAACATCTGAGTCAGGATCAATACCTGCAGCAACAATATTTTCACAATAAAGCGAAAGTGCCAATTGCCATTGACCAGATTGTACCAATTTCTTTATGATAGCACGATAGCTACCCATATCAAGGTCCATGCCATGAAATTTTGCGAAATCAACGACTGAAATAGCATCAGAAACAGAGGCAGAATTAGCAATGATACGGCGAATCACTTGTTGGGCTGATGATATTAAGCCACGTTTAATTAATTGTTCAGCTAAAGAGAGACAAAGCAGGTTGTGGTCATTGGACGTCGATTGTGAGACCAGTGAGGACTCCAGTTGAAGTGTACATGTGGTTATTCCTCTTCTTCTGCTTTTGAACCAGTTGTAACATGAACTATTTTGTTTTGTAATCATGTTTTTGGATAGTTTGTTTAAGGGCTGCGTGGTTGTAGAAGTAGAAATTTTGAATTTTGACAGAAGTCGAGTGAAGAAGATGATGAAGTTGTGCCGTTGGTTAATGGCGGGGCGACAACGGAACTGACTCAAACCCTTACCGACTTGGCTGGGTTTGGCTCCAAACCGTGATGCTCACGGTTAATTAAACTGGTTTTAATGCAGGATTTTATGTTTTTGGTTTATTTTATAAATTTTATGTATTTTTTTATATTTTTGAAAATATTAAAATGATTAAAAATATATTAAAAACGCTTCTAGAATATTTGTCAGAAAAAGCTTGTCTTAAATATTTTCTTTTCGTTTGCAATTTTATACAAAAACTTGATTTAAAATTATTTTGTTGAAGAGTGAATAGAAAATATAAAAAAAAAATATCTTTATTCAAAATATTACCTGTTTTCTATTTTGCCAGATTTCTCTTCTTCTCTTGACTCAAATTTGATAGAAAAGATAAACGAAAATTTTCAATTTTAAAGGCCAAAAAATGAAAAGGGTATTAACTTTTTTTTCTTTTCTTGACCGTTTGCTGGAGACTCTTGAATATATTACTTAAGAAGTCCTAAGTTCGAATCCTCATTACTACTAATAATGAGTAGCCACTGGAGACTTATCAGACTATTAACTTCAGAGCCCCGGATAATTAATTAAGGTGCACGTAAGCTAGTCCAAACACCTTTTTATACCAAAAAAAAAAAAACAAAAAAAAAAACAAAAAAGGGCTTTAACTTCTTCAAGTTCACTGGTTCTGTAATTTCAAATTTTCAATCATGTGTACATCTCTTTGTCCATCTCCAATTCTTTCATTTTGTGGTAAAACCCATAGATAAATGATTTAATTATTTAAAATTTAATATGAATGTAATTTGTTACCTTTAAAATATGAATTTAAATACAGTTCTTCAGTATCCCTAAATATATATTAAACTCAATTTATTTTTAAAGTATTTAAAAATGTGGATTTTTGAAATAATTTTATGAACAATACAAAACCGAACTCATGGGCCTGCCCTCGCGTGAATGGGTCTAGTAGATAAGTCCAAACTTCGAAACAAGATCTGAAACGCGGGCTTCAAGCCCAACTCTTAAACTACCGGGCTACTCTCAGCCCGACAACAAATTCCTACCTGGTAATCATGGACATGTTGGGTAATCAATTGAAATTTGAGTTAGAAAATGAATTTTACATTTACATTATTTTAGATTATATATCTAATAATTTATTTTGTTAAAAATAAAAAGAATGAAACATACATAATGCCAATAGATGAAAATAAAAAATTTACTTAAAAGAAAAAAGAAATTATAAACCTTAAAGTATTGGTCTAACAGTTAAGAAAGTGTGCTCCCTTCATTGACTCCTAGGGTTTAAATCATCGAGGAACCACTAACCACTTTTGTGACTTGCCTGAAACATTAGGTTTGTAAGATGTTTAATGGACTTCGGAGATCTATTGAAGCGAGCGTAAGCTAGCCCAGACATCCCGATGATTTTAAAAAAAAAAAGAGAAATTATAGATCTTAATGATTCCTACTTCCACTATTTAATCCTTTACTTGTTGTCACTTCGTATTCATATAATTACAGTTATAATTGACATTATAATACTGAATGTGACATATAAACCGCAAAATGCAATCATAAATTCTCCTGTTTATGTTATTATTTACTTTTAGGTGATAAGATTTGTCATTACTCTAAACACAGTGACAACAACAACACTATATATATTTAACCACTAAAAACACCATTATTATTATTATAATCAATATGTGTCTGAGCGTGTGCATACGAAAAGGGAAAATGATTCATGCCCTTCGATCATTTACACTAATATAATTCTAACCGATCATCTCTAATTAATCTGTTTTCTTAACTGCAAGTATTCCTAAAGAAGAAAAGTTCTAATATTCTATGTTCCTTTTAGGGTTTTCATTTATGTTGGTAGAGTAGAAAATTTGTCTATGTGCCACGTGATTCTCTAATAGTAACTTAATTATTCAAAATTTGGTGGGTTTCTTTGAAGTTTTGAACAAAGATTTTCATTGTAATTAATTACTTTGCACAACGTCACCTTTAGCTAATAATATGTGTCATTAATTTCTTTATTTTTTGCGTTAATCTGTTGGATTATTCCAAAATATAAAAGGAACATAAGAATAGAGAGTTTGATCGTCTAAGTTTAGATTTAGAAACAGCATTATAATAACGAACGGCGCGCATGTGAAGGCAAATGGGACAAATTTTGANTATTCATATAATTACAGTTATAATTGACATTATAATACTGAATGTGACATATAAACCGCAAAATGCAATCATAAATTCTCCTGTTTATGTTATTATTTACTTTTAGGTGATAAGATTTGTCATTACTCTAAACACAGTGACAACAACAACACTATATATATTTAACCACTAAAAACACCATTATTATTATTATAATCAATATGTGTCTGAGCGTGTGCATAGGAAAAGGGAAAATGATTCATGCCCTTCGATCATTTACACTAATATAATTCTAACCGATCATCTCTAATTAATCTGTTTTCTTAACTGCAAGTATTCCTAAAGAAGAAAAGTTCTAATATTCTATGCTCCTTTTAGGGTTTTCATTTATGTTGGTAGAGTAGAAAATTTGTCTATGTGCCACGTGAGTCTCTAATAGTAACTTAATTATTCAAAATTTGGTGAGTTTCTTTGAAGTTTTGAACTAAGATTTTCATTGAAATTAATTACTTTGCACAACGTCACCTTTAGCTAATAATATGTGTCATTAATTTCTTTATTTTTTGCGTTAATCAGTTGGATTATTCCAAAATATAAAAGGAACATAAGAATAGAGAGTTTGATCGTCTAAGTTTAGATTTAGAAACAGCATTATAATAACGAACGGCGCGCATGTGAAGGCAAATGGGACAAATTTTGAAAACCCTAAACTCTACCATACATAGACTCCATATGCAAATAATAATATGTGATAAGGGATAAGGGAGTAAGTCCTGATCATGCCTTTATTTGACACTATAATTGCTTCTGGTGGCTAGAAATGGGGGAAATGTGGGAAGAAAGCTACCGCAATGAGAGGAAACAATACAGAATTTGGATTTTTGAGGCCTCCAGAGTACTTGAAGAAAAACACAATGAGAGAAACTGTATAAACATTTTGTCTTCCATTTTGTAATACATGTTCGAGTTAATTTCTTCCTCTTCTTTTGTCTTCCATGCATGCATATGAAGTTTATGTTAATTAAGTCCTTAAAGGCTTAAAGCACAAAGCTTTAACCTATCTATATAACAACGACTGAAGCTTTCTCATTTAGCTAATGAAAAAGAAGTTAAAATAATATATCCTATAGAAGAAATATCTACTATGAAAGAGTAATGGTAAGGATATTGGGACCAATATAATGATGCCGTATATCCAAGCTATAATTGCATCGATCGATCGATCAAATTAATTTAGATAGCTTGGATGCTACATGTTATCCTGAAATCGAATGGCCTTTAGTTTCAACGAAGAGTTTGGTCTTGACCTTTAGAGGGTTAATCTTTTCACTCGTTTTTGTTTATAAAATTTTGGTATTGATCAAAGCTGGTAGACTATCTCCTTCAATTCAGTACACAAAATGATTATGAATAATATCTCTATCACATATGGCCTACCCTGTATTCATACTCTCTGCTTGAGTATTCCATACTTCTGGCAGGTGGTACATTATACCTTTTAGATATTTCTATGCTTTTGAATTCCCTTATTACCCCCCTGTATATAGTTAATTCCGCAAGATTAATCCACCCACAACTCCAAGTCATTAATTTAACTTAAATCATCTTGTATAATGCTATATATGATCGATAATTAATATTCAATTCCATATGCCATAAAAGAATAGAATTAGGGAAAATCAATACTGCATGTTCAAATATCGATGTATATCATTGAACTATATATTTGTACTATAACCTTAGATTTCTTTAATAATTTTGATTAATTATAATTAAGCTATGTATTAACATTATGAAGATCATGGAGTTGAGTCTGCTAGTAGTACTAGTCTCTCTTGATAGCCTATATATGAAGAAAAATAAAGTATACATTAATGGTTTCAAAAACATAGTAAGGAATAAAGCTATGTTCGAAAATAGGAATGAAGCCACGATTTGATGTAATGGGATTATACAGTACGTAGTTTATATATATATATAAGTTGTACTCAAGCTGTTATGCCGAAAAAAGTAGGGCTGACGTGGAGTCTCATCAGTAAAGAATGGTCAGAGTACAGAAGGGTTATGCGTCGTCCAGGTGCGGCCACGTCGCGTCTAGCCCAAGTGGCATGGCTCCTGTCAGTGCAGCAGGTGAGTGTCAGGCCAGCAAACGGCTGGAGATCGCCCACGTGTCAAAGCCCTACTTTAATCGAGGAAATCTCTTGGGCAGGTGATCAATGGGATGCAAAGAAAGGATTTGCACGGCACCTATCCACTTGCAGCTTTCATAATCATTATCTTAAACTTTCCCATTATAAATAGAAGACTTCTCTCTCATTTGAAAGGATTAGCTGATTTTACGTTGAAATAGCTCTCTCTCTCTCTCTCTCTCTAAACTGTAACTCAGCTCACGGAACGCGACGTGATCTCTCCTCTTATTAATAATAGCAGTGGACGTATTATCGCTTTAGAGCATCCTAAACCATTTTAAATATTGCTCTTCATCTTTTATTTGATTCATTCCCTTATATCACATGTACTTCTAAGCATTTTAGCATTTTACCTGTCGAGTAGTTGTGTCAAAATCAAGCATCAATACAAGTAAATAAGGTTTGAAATTGATTGTTAATTAATTAAGATAATAATTTCATAACAGCCTTTAAGTTGCTCAAATCATTTTTTTTTTTTTTTTTTTGTATCCAAGAGTGTTTGAACCATCTACGCGCATATTAACTAATCTTTCAAACCCTGAAGTTAACGGTTAAGTAAACCTCAATGATTATTCTTTATTTGTAGTTATTTATAAAGATTTAATTAAAGACCTCTTGAATACCAACCTAATAATCTCAAGTAGCTATTAATATAAGAATTTTAAAGTGCATTAAAAGAAATATTTTTGAACAGAAGCACTCTTAATTATGAAATTAACTATCAATTAATGCGGGGATTAGTACGTTCCTTGGTTACAAACATTTCAAACACGAACAAGGGCATTTCCGTCCACCTGGACCACCCTGATTCGAATTAAAAAAAAAAAAAATCTGTCCGTGTTTGTAGGGGATAGGTGAACCCGGAGGAATTGCTATGATGAGACATCTAAAGTGGGGCCCAAGGAGTTTTAGAGAAGCAGCATTCCTATTGGTTGCGGTGAAGCTCAGCCATCCAAACGGTGCCACGTCAGATCCTAACAGAGTTACGTTTTGGCCGGAAACGCATGATGGCTTGAAGCCAGCCGTCATGATTGGTCATCACCCCCACATCATAAAGTGCACTTTTGTAATCAACGTGTTTAACAAATTTAGTTGCACAAAGACCAGATGATTTCATGTGTCGCGGTTGTATTGGTGCAATGGATTTTATTCACGTGCGCTTAAATTTCACTGTACGCTGATATAAAATTGGAAGGTGGTGGTCTAAGATTCACGTGTAAAAACTTTTTCCTTACTTCTTTTGTGTGTGTATATATATATATACATATATATATAATTTTCATTAGGTAAAAGGTTAAATAATATAAGTCCTTTTGTGCTTTTAAAAATAATAGAAATGTTCTTACTATTAATTTTGTAGTATTAAAATAAAAAGTAGAGAAGCAATATTTAAATAAATATTCATACACCTGTTATATTATAAACTCTAATGATATATTAATGGTTAGTATATTATAAACTCTAATGATTTATTAATGGTTAACTAACTGTAAGAAAGTTTTTATTATTTTTTAGATCTCAAAAAGATATTTCTTATTGATTAAACCTTAAGAATTTTTTTTTCTTTTATAACTAAAATGTTTTGATCCAAAAAATCTAAAAAAATCATAATATTATTATAATAGATTATCCTAAAGTTTAAACCAAAAAATTAAAAAAGGTGAACAAACTTCTTTCACCACGTTAACCCCTTAAGTTTAAACATAAAAAAGATTAATATGAACAATGATTTTTTTACTAGATGAATTATCTATAAATAAAAATAAAATTCATTAGAAATATAATCTTGTACGTAAATCATATAAATTTAGATCATACAATATTATCATAAATAAAAACTCCATTGTTAATTGTGAAATAATTTTAATATTAATTCAAAAAAAATATTACAAGATAATATATTAAGTGCAAATAAAATAGAATTCTTCAATGGCCTTATGTTGTTGTCCCATCACAGTAAATATCGATCTTGATAAAACGAGTGGGACACGTTTGATGTGGGAAGCACTGGGCCCACAGAGTGGGACCCCTCCGAAACCGCGGAGTGCGACCTACTGTCACTGTAAAGTGGGATCCACGTGGGACCAAAAACGGGACCCACAAGCACAACTCAGCGAAAGCCTTAACCGCAAAATAAGTTGCGAGTCTAATGATAGTGGCTAGCCCATGCCGGACCAGCAAGCCGCCACGTACAGAGAGCCAGGGCCATCATCATTCCTTTTCCGTCAACTGGGACCCGCATTCCACCATACTCAACTCACCCATGTCTTTCTTCTGTTTCTCGGCTCGGCTGCTTGGAAAAAGATAAAAGCCGGCTTCAACACGAGTTTCACGACTCTCGCAATCCCTGGTTGGAGGACTGTCAGTTTCTCAGTATGATTGGTCGGTTTCCTGGACCCACTTTATCAGATCCCCCACTAACAAAATTCTTATGCATTTTCAACCAAAAAAAAAAAAAGGTCCTTTATTTAATTTTCGAACTGGGGAAACGCGCATTGAAACCAGGACGGTACGGGATGAAACTGTGAGCTGTTGGGACGGGGCTTGAGCTCCGTAACAACGCAACTGGATTAAGAAAGATGCATATAAAAAAATGGTATCATCATGGCTGTTAGTAGTGGATGGAAACGTATCGGTCACGAGCCGAACCGATACGTTTAATAGTACATTCTCTAGACTAATAGCATCATAGTATAATGAGTGAAGGAGAATTTGGAAGAAAAAAATGTCACGGGATAGTTAATTAATTATAAAACATGCTAATTTCCCTAGCAGTTCCACGAACTTTCTGGTCACCTAAGTGAAGATCAATTAACGATTTGAATATGCTTTTCACACTTTTATTTTTTATTTTTTGGTATCCGAAGGTGTCCAGATCAATTTGTGTCACCTTGACTAGTCCTTCAGGATCTTAAAGTTAACGGTCAAGTAAGTCTTCAGTGGTTATTCTTTATTAGTAGTTGTGGGGATTCAAACTCAGAACCTCTTAAGTAATACATCCAAGAGTCTAAAGCGAACCGTCAAGCTATCTAGAGATGGTTTTTTCACACATATGTTACTAATTCTTGTGTTGGGACAGACATTGAATGAGCAATGTGAATTTTAATCTCTGTCTGTATGAAGTTTTATGATTAAACTTTGTTGTATATAAGGATCACATCATGTTACAATAACTTGTGAAGTTGAAGTGAACTCAAATGAATAAAGGATTTAATCTTATATAAGCATGCAATACACTTAAAATCCATCATATCAAAGTATAACTGGCATGAAAATCTATGGAAGGAAGGGAGAAGGATAAATTAGTTAAATTATTGAGGATGCCGTATATAGAAAGCATTTTTCCTTTCTTGGTAATACAATATTCACAGTTTTCCCTAATATCAATATATAAGCCAATCCCAAACGTATAAGATCCTTTTATTGGTCGTCTAATATTAATGATCATATAATACTAGTCGAAAGAATTACATATTTGCATGCTCAGAAAGCTCAAGAATTGCAAATTATTGGATAGCTGAATTTGATGATTCAAATGATCAAGTAACATCACCCATTATTCACAGTAATGACGATAAGGCAGATGTGATAAAATAAAAGGAGGGTAGCCAATTCAATGGAAGCAAACATCCATGAGAAAATGGGTCACTCCAAACATCATGATATTGATTAAAATATTACAGTTGAAACTTGAAACAAATGGTAGGGACGAGGAATGGAGTCTTGGGGCAGTAGCAGTGGCCACCATGCCCAGTGATCTCTGTGTTTTATTTAACTTTTTGGCTGGTGGCTGTCCCATTACGTCACCACCTATATCACCAGTATTTAATTTATTCTCCCTTTCTGGGGTCTTCTGGAGACTTAAAGATTGGTGATTGGTCTGTGGTGTTAGTTAATTCCTCACACTTGTCTCTTGCTTTTTCTCTTCATCTCTCTCCTTCTCTTTCATCCGTTCATTTATATATGCTGTAGTGCTGTACAAAACCTGGAGACAAATCAGCCATTCTCATCTCTCTCTCTCTCTCTCATTTATTCATCTTCAACTCTTTTATTCTTTGTGTCTCTATCAGTTGCGGGTAGAGTTGGCAGTCGAAACAGCCCTTAGCTTGCCCTAATTCTCTCTGTGTCAGCTTTTTTCCCGCCCTAAGCTTATACACCAATTTAGCTCAAACCGACAGTGAGAGACAATGAGAGTTCATGATATTGATAGAACTATTGTGCTAAGCTAAGCTACTAAGTTTAATCATAAATTTTTCATCATTAGGGTTTTCTCTCTCTTCTGTTTTGGTTTTCTTATTTAACCCTATCAATTCTCCATTCTTCCATTCCTTGCAGCCTTTCCTTTTTCGAGTTATTTCTTTCCTCGGGATCTGATCCGACAACTAGACAGTTTTGTGGGAGTTCCAAAACAATTGGGTTCAATTCCCGAGGACACATATAAACACATAACAACATAGTTTGTACTTTGTTGTCTTGTTTCTTGTCTCACTTAGAAACCGTGTATTTATCAAAAAGAAGGTTTGATTCTTGGTGGAAGATTCAATCAACCCAGATCTGTGGATTACAAGAGCTAGAGATCTTGGTTGCTTGACTTTATTTGTGAGCTTTCTCTTTCTCTGCTTGATCTTCATCTTCTTTTTGGTTAAGATATATATATTGTCTGTTTGCTACATTCTGATATGTTAGATCTCTGTGTTTTTGAACCTTGATATTTAATGTAATTCACATATTATTTAAGGTGGTTTTTTCATGAATATATTTCTTATTAAATGTACCTTAAGATCTACTTCTTTATTCGTACTTTTACCACTTTCTCTAGCCTTTGCTTGCCATCCCATGTAGTCAAAACTCCGCAAGACTTTCCATGAGTTAATCCATGCACTGCGTAGGTTTTTATAAAATGAACAACGTTTGTAATATAACAGAAATAAGAGAAGCATAAATTGATCATGAGACGAGGTGCTGTTAGATGATTTATTCGGAAGGCAACTCAAAGAAGCTACCTTAGCTATATGGATATGGATATTTCTTCTTTTATCTTATTTATTATTTATTATATTTATTTTGATAAAGAAATATCACGTTTACATAGAGATATTTCCTCTTATTTGGTACTTGAAAAACTTTTTATAGAATTGTAAGGGGACAAATATCTATCGCTCAATTCTTTTTTTTTTTTTTTTTTTTTGTCAAAACTTTATATGGTTAATTATAGTTTTCTTATAAAGATTAATGTCATGTTGTTATCAAGACAAGAAAACTGATTTCATCTGTTTGTTCATAATGCTCATTAAGAGGTATGATTATTGATGTTTTTTTTCTATTGCCTTGACTCCCCCTATAATTCAACAGAAAAAAACAAAACTGAATTATATATACTCATTACATTTTTTCAAGAAAATTTAGGCCTGATATAAAGACAGAAACATGATTTTGTTTACTTGTCTTCTTGCGTTTATTATCAGACACAGAATCTGTGAAGCACCAATCCATAATTTGTTTTTTTTTTTCCTATTCTTTGTATGTTCAAAAATCATATTCTATATTTTTCCAAAATCTAGTTTTGCTTTGTAAGGTAATGTAGTAATTAATCTTTGCCTTTTTCTTTGTCTTTTTGTAGGTAAATTTTCTTTAATATCCATAATTTTATGTGCTATACATCATCTACCTTCACAATATTTAGTATTAATTTGGAAACTTGAAAAATTATTCAACCTGATATCGTCTTCATGAGATGTTATAATCAGCTTTGTTTCTTAACTTGAAGTTTTGGTGCAACTAGCTGAAAACATAAAGGTTGGGGCAGATATTTTATGCATTTTATTTGACATTATATAAACAATATTTTTGGGGGACTTTAATAGTTGGTTTATGAAGTGATATAACACAAATTGATTTTTCGCTGTTGATAAATCTAAAGATTTAAAAGTTATTAATTGCTAAGCATTTCTATCTCAAATTCAAGTAAAAAATTTTGTGTTACAACATCATGTCACATTAAGGGGGTTCTTACATTGTTTTATTTTATTTTTACGGGTTATTTAATTATCAAGTAAATTCATGGTTTTCATGACCAGAACTAAATCGTGCATACATGCATTCATATGAACATTACATAAGCTGAAGCATAATTTTAAAGAGGTCTTGCAAAATGAGAAGGAATGCTAATTTGTATATATAATATTAACACTCTTTATTTCAATTCTATTAGAATAATGCAGCATTTGATATTACTGGTGTATAGTGTAGAGTAATGTGCATCTATTTTCAGAATATTTATCTATAATTAATATAGAAAAAATAGTTTAACTAAAATCATTTTAATGGGACACCTAATTATCAGTCCTTTTAAGTTTGGAATCTCCAAACAAAAAGACAGAAATCAAAAGCATATGCTTGAATGGTTTGTTATTGTATTGCATTCGAAGGAAAAGAAAAATTATATGTCATGTGTTCCATAAAACATCATTTTATATAAAATTTGAAGAAAAAAAATGAATTTAAGAGACCATATATTACCATAAGGAATAATTGGTAGAAGAAAGATAGATATTATGTGGATGAGTTATTTTATTTTGCATGATACGTAGCCCTTAGATTTATTACTCTATTACTATTTTGCATGTGCATAGGTATTGAAACTAAGGTGTACTGATAGAGTTCTGTAACTGGATTGATGGATTCAGGTATCGATCGAGAAGGAGGATATGAATACTTTTTCACATGTTCCCCCTGGCTTTCGGTTCCATCCGACCGATGAAGAACTTGTTGATTATTATCTTAGGAAAAAAATCACTGCAAGAAGGATTGACCTAGATGTCATTAAAGATGTGGACCTCTATAAAATTGAGCCATGGGATCTTCAAGGTATAAGGATAAAATTTTCTTTAACTAGTTCAGAATTTCAATCTCGAACCTTTTTAATAATTGGCGTGTTTTCAAAATTGAACAGACCTATGCAGGATAGGAACAGAAGAGCAAAATGAATGGTACTTTTTCAGCCATAAAGATAAGAAGTATCCAACTGGAACTCGAACAAATAGAGCCACAGCAGCTGGATTTTGGAAAGCAACAGGTAGAGACAAGGCTATATATTCGAAGCATGACTTAATTGGAATGAGGAAGACCTTAGTCTTTTATAAAGGTCGGGCTCCAAACGGACAAAAGTCAGATTGGATCATGCACGAATACCGCCTTGAGACAGATGAAAATGGTACTCCACAGGCAAGTATTTAATTACACTCATTAATAACTTCAGGAAGAAACACAAATAGAAGTTTTCTTAGAATGAACATTTCTTGGAAATTTTCTACCAGTTTGGTTTACCAAAGTTTAATCTTTTTTGTAAAACTTAGATAAATCAATATTTTTGAGAAGTACTGGAAATTACATTAGATTATTGGCAATAACGCTGATAAAAATATTTGTGTAATTGAAAACAGGAAGAAGGTTGGGTAGTGTGTAGGGTGTTCAAGAAGAGAATAACTACCGTGCGTAAAATGAGTGAGCATGGATCTCCTTGCTGGTATGAAGATCAAGTCTCATTCTTGCAAGACTTCGATTCACCGAAGCAAAATTCGCAGCCCAATTTGGCTTACCACCTCTCCTATGCCTGCAAGAAAGAGCTAGATTTGCAGTACCAAGTTTCCCATGAACACTTTCTCCAGCTTCCACTTTTAGAGAGCCCAAAGCTACTGCAAACACCTGGAAATGTAAACTGCAGTCCAATGGCTGCATATGGACTGGACATAAACCATGCAAACACTTTGCAGTCCTCATCACTTTCACAAGAAGAACATATCCAGCATCCTCATGAGCAAATCTTGCATCCAATGTATGGCAGAGACAACAACGAGCAGGCAGTGGATCAAGTCACCGATTGGCGAGTTCTCGACAAGTTCGTGGCTTCCCAGCTCAGCCAAGATGATGTTCCTAAAGAAAATAACTACTCAAATGGAGGCAACAACATGTTTCGTGCGAATGAGCAGACAAATAATATTCTGATGAGACACTTGAACAAGCAAGAAATGGTGCCGGAGAATCCCTCAACCTCAACCTCCAGTTGTCAAATTGATCTATGGAAGTGACAACTTACTATTTATAATTATGAGACAGTATATACTGATTATAGGATATTCAATGCAGAGGTAAAGGGAAGTGATTATATAATCTAAATTCCTGTACATAATAAAACTAAATAATATAACTTTTGTTTTAACTCTTGAGCTTCTAGCTCTTCCTCCTAATATTTAAGTTAATATCACCAAACTAAAACCGAGTGTTAAGCTGCTGTAAGATGTGAAATTGCAGCATTTGTTTGTTTGTAAAGGTCTTTTATGTAGCCTATACTGTTCTAACAGCCGTATGTGCTGTTTATTCATGTTTATGGAATCGACTTGGAGATCGATTCCAAATATGTTTGTATGTTCAATTTGTTGATGAAATAGAAGATTTACAATTGTCTTTGTTAAATTTTGCCTCAATGGATTTCTTTTTCCTCTTACTTTGCCTTATGTTCCAATATTTAAAGGAGATAATAGGTAAAAAAAAAACACGAAAATGTAAAATTCTTGAGTAGATTGACCTTTAAAGTTGAAAATTTTGGAAAAATAAATTTGAGATCATATATATAAAAGATCATTTCAATTCCCAGATCCCAATGGTAAAAGATTTCAAATATTCTTCGTGGAAATATATATATTTATATATAGAATGAATAAATATGTTCATAGTTTGGTCAAGGCTTTGTAAAATTGTTACTGTTTTTGTAAGAGCAGATTTCCACGAGCTTATAAAGACTTGGCATATATTTTTTGGAACTATACAATTATTATCTGTAAATCTAAAATATTATCGAAAATATTTATTCAAATGGCACATACGTTTGCAAAAAATTTGTAAGAAATTAAATCAATGATAATGTACTGAATGCTTTGCTGGTAAGTTTGGCAAAGCCACATGAAATGTGCATTACTCTATTCTTTGTCAAGTCGTAGATGACACTCAATTGATTGAATCAACCTGATCGGGATTCGGGCACGGCACTAATTAATTAGCACAACAAGATTGATTTTAGTGCATTGGCCAATCATTAAGCTTGATTTGTTTAGTAGTTTCAAAGTTAATTTTTCCCTTCGATCAAGTCTTCATGATCAAGTTTATTGATATAGATAATCTGATCTCTCCTAAAATATCTCAAGAAAAAACAATTTTTTATTAGTGTTCTCGTGGATGTTGAAATTTGTTTTAAGTCTCAAAGATATGAATTAATAGGATTTCGTAAGATTTTGATTAAATTTTATAAACTCTTATCGATGAGAGTTAGCATATATATATACATGTATAAGTTTACGTATATATAATTATAAGTAATACTACACTTACAAATATTTTCATACAAAGTGATGTGACAAAAAATGAATGAAAGAGTGAATATAATAAGTTTGATTTTTTATTTCACTCTTTCATTTATTTTTTGCTACCTCAATTTGTATTAAAATATTTGTAAGTATAGTTTTATTGATATATTATATATAATATGTTGTTAAAAATAAGGATTTTGAGCTTACTTAGGTACCATTCAATAAGCGATATTGTTAATCACCTATGCATGATGCAGAGATGCATGGCAAGATATCTATCTCAAAGATGTTACAGAGAATATCATTAGTCACGGAAGAATTCAGCTATGCAGGAAGACATTTTTATTTCCCTACAATGCAAACAAACAGTCAATTTCTGATGTGTTTTTGTTCCTTTTCCAAGCCCTTTCCTAAGGTAGGATTGTCGGGTTTTTTTATGATCTCTCTGTATATTCTTTTTCTCTTTTAATGATATTGCTTATTTACCAAAACAAAAATAGTTGCCGAGCAGGTATATGCATCATACTAAGTTGTTGTCAATATCATTTGATATAAAGAGAGGACTTTCATCGTTTGAGAAGTAACCAGAACAATAATAATAATAAGTTATTTTATATTTAAGGGGTTGTCTTGTACTTTTTCGAGCTTTACAATTGAGAAATAAGCATAACATAACTAATCTATTGATATCAACTGTGAATAAAAACAATTCAGCAAAAAGTATATCAAATATATACCTCTACCTAGGAAGCAAAAAATGGGACTCTAAATAGGCATAAAAAGGAAGAGAGACTCATTCTCTGAAAATGAACAAAAACATATGAAGTTCCACCATTGAAAAGGAAGAAAACCATGCTGGTTTAAAATTATCACCACGAAGAGAATGAGGAAATCCAAAACCAAATCAAATTGCAAATCCTAATTCATTAACTTAAAAAATAAAAATAAAAACAAAAATTGTGTGGATCCTTATGTATAAAATAATATTTATAACTTTAAGGTTCTTGAAAACCCTTTTATTTATTTTTTCAGTAGGAGCACTTACCAAAAGAGAATAATAATTTCTAACTGCAGACATGCAAGGAATCAAAGATGGATAATTCAAGAAATGCAGACAATTAAAATCGACAACCTGAACTGTGACCATATTTAAGTAAATATTATTACCTGCTGTAAAGAGAGAGGGCTAGATTCATTGGTTGGGAGAGTCAGATGCAGGAAAAGTGTTCTTAGCTAGTGTAGTGGGATGACCAGAGAAGATTCAGAAGCATGCGCATTTTAAGGTAGAATAAAAGAACCCTCTAGGGTTTAAAAGCACTAGCAAGTAGAAACCATACGAATCGTACCCCTTGCTAGTTTCAAACATTCACTAATGTCATATGTATATATGGACAGAGATCATTTACTTGTGATGCAGTCAAGTCTGGATGTAACTTTTAAGCAAATGGGATTTTTTACAACATATTCATTGTGTGTAGGGCCTCAATCTCATGACTGGTATCTCACATAATTCTGAACAGACAGTTGAAGAACATAAAAAAAGAATCCCAAGAAAGGAAAAAGCTAATCTTGTAGTCAGTGCTCATCTCTGACAAAATTTGACGCGTGGATTCGTTTCTTTTGATTAGGGCTTTGAGAGTGAGAGACTGCTGCTTTGTGAAGTCAAAGATACCAGCAGGCATGAAATTAATGAAGAAGCGCATGCCAGTGAGCGAGCGGGTGACTGAATAATTAGGGTTTTATTAAAATGTTGTTTGTGGTAGAAGGTAACATGATACATTCACATTCTCAACAAGTCCATGTGACTGCTATTATTTCCTTCCCACCCACAAATATTATCCATCATTTTTCAGTACTCCACCATTCTTTATCACCTTATTACATTGTGGTCAAATTCAAAACCCAGCTGGTTAGACATTAGAATAATCTTTTTGTAACGTACCATATCATTTATATTATATTTATAAGTTATTAATGTTATAATAAACTTGATATATCTAGAAATCTGCTCTTACTTCTGGTAACTTATATCGAACACTGAATTATCAATGGTTTGTAATGGGAATCCTATATCCTTCTACAGTGACCAGTTTATGGCTTTTAATTATTTATAAGATCATGAGAGAATAACAGAAAGGATAATTAATGAATAAAATATTTTAGCTACTCGTATTTAATTTAGAGTCTATATAGAAAACACAATGCACAGTAAACATTTCATGGGATGATGTTAAAGAGTTATTATGTTATAGATTATTGTTGAAGATAAGACTGGCTGAGAGCAAAAGGGAGAGTCAATGGCTGCCAAAGAGGAGACAATAATTTCTGACCACTGATGATGTTTCTAAATTCTAACCCACATATTGAAGGTAGCTTGGTCCCCTTAAAGCTTTACTTCATAATGTTTTAGTCAGAGACATATCATGATCAGAGGCGCACAATATTTATCCCCGGTGAGCTTTTGTTTTGGAGTGTATTATCCCTACTACTACTAATAATAAAGAATAATCACTGAAAGCCAATCTGTTCGTTAATTTTAGGGCTTTTGAAGACTAGTTTAAGTGCGTGCAAACTGATCTGAACATTTTCGGATACCACTGACCGTTAACTTCAAAGTCTCGAATGACTAATTGAGATGCACGCAAACTGATCTTTTACAAAAACAGGAAAAACTTACTAAGTTATTTAACCAAATTAAGGTGTCCCCCATTCATTGTGGAATGAAATTCACTTGACAGTTGGGCTCTTTCTCCTACTAGTACCACAGCCGAAAGCTTAGATTGACTTGTGATCATTACCAGATTGATATGCTTCTGTCCATATATTTGTACCTACTTAATCTTTTTATCATTAGAGAAAAGCTATTGTTTCTGCTGGAAATTTTACTTTTTACTTTCTTATTCATCAGACCGTTCAATCAAACTAGATTGTATTTCCAATGTTCTTGCTTATATGTGACGATTATAAACATCGCAAATCGTCCCCAATGGGTTGAGGTACTCTGCTTTCTCTGATCGGGATAACTAAACCAACCCTCAATATAGAAAAGAAAACATGAACATTTATTTCTCCTTTTCTACTGTTATTTTGACTTTAAAAGCATTCACAAACCTTATATAATAAAGTGAAGATGCTATTTTTACTTATTGCCAAAAGATGACAATATATTTCACAGTTCTGATATTATCATATTCTGGTTTAAGAAAGGGTACAAATGTGCACAAAGAGATAATAGTTGTCAGCAAGTCAATAGAAGGTATACAATGCCAAATGATGTTGAGAATTGGTATGTAACATTACAAGAATGATGGATCCACGGTAACCTTATAATAAAACAACAAAATGAATGTCATTTAACACCAAGAAAAGAATTTGTATAAACATCTGTAAACCTAATCTAAACCACAACTCACTGTTAAATCCTGCCTACAACCAAACCAGAACAAGCCGCTACTGTCACAAATTCTGATCCTCAAGAGAGTTTATCAAGAAATGAAAATTCCAACAGAGAGTGCCAACACAAAAGTAAGGACCATCTTTGATACTCCTATCAAAATTGATGTTGCAGCTGAATGACTCTGCGGTCTGGAAGATGCAAAAAGGCAAAACATTAGTTATGCGAATTAATAGACGTCAGAAGGGAAAAAAGGAAAAGAGAGTTAAAAATGAAAAAGGTTTCGGGTGGATACTTCTGCAAGCTTTGAAGGGCACCACAATATAAAACATTATCAGGAGGAGACATCTCTGTTTTGCCATTTTCCTCGGGATTAATAATTCTCATATATGTTTCTTGGCCGAGATACCAGCGATCCAGGTTTTCTACTCTAAGATTCCATACTCCAACATTATCAAGAGAGATAAGGATTGCCGTCCATCCCCCCTGGATAAACCTACCCAAGAAGAAACATAGAGGATTAATATGGCATTGAATTACCATTTCAAAAAACCTTTTCATTTCCATGCCAAAAATCCATCTGATTTTTCTTTCAGAATAAGAAAATGAGCTTTTTGATAGGCAAACTC